TGTTTATAGTCTCAGCTACTGGAGAGGCTGAGGCAGGAGAATTGCTGGAGGCCAGGAATTTGAGGTTGAAGTGAGCTATAATCATGTCACTACACTCTTGCCCGAGAAACAGAGCAAGACCTTATCTCAAAAATTTAAAAATAAAAAAAATAAACACAGGCTAAGCACAGTGATTCAAACCTGTAATCCCAGTACTCTGGCAGCCTATAATCCCAGTACTTTGGGAGGCCAAGGTTGGAGGATTTCTTGAGCCCAGGAGTTGAAGACCATCACTAGCAAAAATAATAAAAAATATAGCTGGGCATGGCAATGTGTTCCTGTAGTCCCATATACTTGGGAGGCTGAGCTGGGAGGACTGCTTGAGTCCAGGAAGTTTGAGGCTGTAGTGAGCTATGATTGTGACAGTGTATTCTCCAGCCTGGGTGACAGAGATAGATCCTATCTCAAAAAAAAAAAAAAAAGAAGAAATAAAAAAAAATAAATAAAAGGGGCCAGGCGCGGTTGTTCATGCTTATAATCCTAGCACTCTGGGAGGCCAAGGCGGGAGGATTGCTTGACCTCAGGAGTCCGAGACCAGCCTAAGCAAGAGTGAGACCCCGTCTCTACTATAAATAGAAAGAAATTAGCCAAACAACTAAAAATATAAAAAGTTAGGTGGGCATAGTGGCTCATGCCTGTAGTCCCAGCTACCTGGGAGGCTGAGGCAGGAGGATTGCTTGAGCCCAGGAGTTGGAGGTTGCTGTGAGCTAGGCTGATGCCACGGTACTCTAGCCCAGGCAAGAGAGTGAGACTCTGTCTCGGGAAAAATAAACAAATAAATAAAAGATATAAACACATACCTATGAATAAATATTCATAGAAAAAGTATCTGTAAGGCTCTAAGGTTATATACCAACATGTTAACAGTATTTACTTCTGCAGATGGCTGCTGAAATAAGATGATTAGAAGGTTATATGTGAAAATCCTAATTGTTGTGATTATCACAAGATTTGTAGGATTTTAATCAATTTTTCTATTCATTGTTTTGGTCATTGTGTGACATACTGCATGGTGATGTCAGGTATCTGTAACCAAGATTATCATCCCTAGGTAGATATTAGCAGTGACAAAGATAAAAGTGTGGGGATGGTCAGAGCATCTAGATTATCTTGTCTTTCTGAGCAATTGGCCCCTGATGTTCAGTATGTACAGGTAAGTGTTCTAGTAGAACTAGAGCCCTTGAGGTCTACACATGTGGTGTGGTAGAGAGAGGAATGGGGACAGATGTTGAGCAGTTACACCCCAAATGGGAACAAACCTTTTGGATAGATGTTACAGACACTGTGACCCTAGGTAATCATCTTTTCTAGTTGTTGAGATGAAAGACATGGTCTTGGATAATAGGTATTAGGGACTTTTCGGACACTACTTCAGACTCTGAAACTACTAGTGACTCTTTAGTTTTACATTCCACCTAGAGCCATAGCCTGATCTACCTTTCCCTGTCTGCGGTTTTGCCATGTCCCATGTTTATTCAAATGTCTTAACTTCTGGCTGGCTGACACAGGTTTAATAAGTAGTAGAAATAATCAGGAATAATATTCAAAATTCTTAGTAATTCAACTGTGGAATTAGGGGGTGGGGAACCTGTGGTCTTGGGGGCACATGTGGCCTTCTGGATCCTTAAGTGCAGCCTTTTGACTGAATCCAAACTTTACAGAAAAAATCCTTTTAATAAAGGGATTTGTTCTATGAAGTTCGGATTTGGTCGAGGGGCCACACTTGGGTATCTGGAGGGCCCCATAGGGCCCAGAGGCCGAAGGTTCGTCCCATACCCCAGAGCTACTATAACAAATTACTATAGACTGGGTAACTTATAAACAACATAAATTTATTGGTTGTCATTCTTGGGGCTGGGAAGTTCAAGATCAGGGTGTTGGCAGGTTCTGTGTCTGATGAGGGCCCTTTACTCTTAGATGGTGTCTTATGTGTCCTCACATTGTTGAAGTGGTAAACTAGCCCTCTGTGGGCTCTGTTATAAGGGCACTGATTCCATCCATGAGAGTTCTATCCCCATGACCTAATTTAAAGGACTCACTTCTTAATACTGTTGCGTTGGGGATTAGGTTTCAACATAGGTATTTTTTGGAGGACACAAATGTTCAGACTATATAGCACAACTAGTATACATATATTTCAGTATTTTACACTGGTGTGATGGTATGGGGAAGTAGCATTAGCTAATTATTCCTTGTTGTGTACCCTACACAGACTTGAGCTTTTGACATGCAATCTTTGGACACTTGACATGTAGTTCACAGAACAATACTGTGATGAAAGTGCTATAATTATCCTCATTTTACAAAAAGGACATTTCAATAAGTTTCTGAATCTTAAAATTTATGATATTTTACATCACTTTTTAATTTTTTGTCTCTAAACATTTTTTACAAGTGACCAGTCAAAATCTTTTCTTTGAATGTTATAGGAAAGATGGAGTAGGATTATGAATATGAGTTTAATTCTGAAGGCTTTTATTATTTCCTTTTCATGGCATTTGATTATTGATTGCATGTTCATTTAAATGGTATTTCTAGTTTCATTCTTCTGAAGTTAAACACAATTAACATCAAGGTTTCAAGTTTTATATTAGAAAATAATAAGAGGAATTTCAATTACAAATTTTAATTTATAAAGACAAAAGCTTTTTAAAATTCTAGCTATTACAGATATGGCTAGTGCTACCACTAATAGTTTTTTTAATTACTGTGTTTAAGTAATTACAATTTAAATTTTATTCTTATGATTTAAAAGTTGAAATGAATGTTCTGATTAATTTTATTTATGTCTGGTATATTTACTCTGGTACTTTTGGTGGCCTCTAAATGTAACTTTAGAAATTCTACATTTGCCAAAGTAAAAAGTGGTGTTTTTTTTTTTTAAAGTGGTGTTTTTTATGATTATTTCAGTAGAGCTTATTTTGAAGCTTTTTAAAACTTTGAGCTTTTCCCTCATCCTACAACTACAATCCAGTACATGCTGAATCTCAGTTGGCCAGAAAAAGGAAAATGTACAGACTGAGAATCAAGGTTTGTATATTTGAGGAAGGTTTTCTTTCCTTACATATGTTTCAATTATCTGAAATCCATCTGCTTCTGCCAGTTCCCATGGAACTAAGGGTGACAAGATAAAGAAAAGAGAAAAAAGAAGGAAGGTGTTAGAAACTAGAAGTTATAAGCTGAGTTCTGCTTCTTACCCTCCCTGGTCTACTCCTGTTTGGTGTTCTGGTCCAACGCTGGGTGGTTTGAATGGACACAACACTTGCTGGGATCCTGGCTGGCCTCCATTACTCAGCGCCCTTTGACCATGGGCAGATCACCCAAAGCCTCTGTAACTCATCCATCCATCTCTCTCTCTCTCTCTCTCTCTCTCTCTCTCTCTCTTGAAAACATTCTGTAAGATCTGAGGTCTTCTAATAATAATGAGGAATGTTATTAAACCTTACATGCCAGTGACTTGTTGCATGCTATTAAGCCAGCCATCTGAGTTTGTTATTCTTCTTTTGTCTCATTTGTAACACACGGAAATTTTGTAAACGAATGATAATAAAAATATTTTACAAACGGTATAGCAAAGGCAACAGCCATTCACAGTGGAAGCCAGATATCAGCAGCCAGAATGTATGCTATATAGTCTGGTGATTATTAGAACAGAGCACTTTTGAGAATCTCAAGGAGGCTTGGAGAACCTTTCCAAATACTTTTTTCTTTTTCTTTTTTTCCTAGAGACAGGCTCTTTCTCTGTTGCCTAGGCTGGAGTACAGTAGTGTGATCATAACTCACTGCAGCCTTGAACTCCTGGGCTCAAGTGATCCTCTCACCTTTGCCTACAAGTAAGCAGAGTACAGATATGAATTGCCATGCCTGGGATCAACTACTTTTTTTTTTTTTTTTTGAGACAGAGTCTCACTTTGTTGCCCAGGCTAGAGTGAGTACTGTGGCATCACCCTAGCTCACAGCAACCTCAAATTCCTGGGCTCAAGCAATCCTTCTGCCTCAGCCTCCCGAATAGCTGGGACTACAGGCATGCGCCACCATGCCCGGCTAATTTTTTCTATATATATTAGTTGGCCAATTAATTTCTTTCTATTTCTAGTAGAGATGGGGTCTCGCTCTTGCTGAGGGTGGTTTTGAACTCCTGACCTTGAGCAATCCGCCTGCCTCAGCCTCCCAGAGAGCTAGGATTACAGAAGTGAGCCACTGCACCCAGCCCAACGCTTGAATTTTAAAAAATCAGAACTTAAGTTACAATTAGTAGAATTTGAGTCTTGATTTGTGTGTGGGGGGTGCAGAAGTGTTGTGACACTCAGACCTCTGCTCTCTAGTCCTTTGGCTCTTTGACCTACATTGTAGAGTTACCAGAGATGTATGATTTCCACATGAGAATACTGTACAAAAGGCATCTGTAGTCACACACAGTTATTCCTTTGCGTAATAATGTTGCAGTTGTTGCTTGTGGGTGTCATAACTGAATTATCTTTCCTCTAGAACCTTCTCTGAGAGCAAGATTTTAGTTATCACACTCATCAGATGTTGCACACAACTATAGACTGTTGTATATTGGTTATTTATAACTAATACTTCTGAAGGACAAGGTGCAATAGAATTGAACTTGCTTGAAAATCTCCAGGCCAATTTATTTAGCTTTGTGGCTTAACTTTTATATTTGTGATACATGGAGTCCTTCCTTTGTCTAAAGCATGTATTTAGAATCTGTATATTTTTATCAAACTGCAATCTCTTTGGATACATACATGGATTCTGGATGCTGCTCCCACCATGGTAACCTCAGATGGGAATGGAGGGTGGTGTGTTGGGAGAGAAGCCATGTTTGAAAATTCAAATCTACTTCCATATTGTTTGAGCAGTTGGGAAGAGGATGAATTGATGAGAGTCTGTTAATGCTCATCTACTCCAAACCTGTATTATGCAATTTCTTTCTTTCTTTCTTTCTTTTTTTTTTTTTACAAATATTGTTTATTTTAATGAAGCTGGTACAGACAATGTCCATTCAAAACCCATATTCCCAGGCCAAAAAGTACAAATAAAATAAAAAAGAGCAGTGTTCTATTGTATACACTTCTGCATGAATAACTTTATTAATTGCTAATGAAAATTAGAACTTTTCTGGGATCTTCTCACAAGATTTTTAAAAAATCTTTAAAATGCCTTCTCTTCAGTGAAGCCATCTTTGGAGTTATTCATTACTCTCACCTTTTCTGTCAGCTTGACTCCAACTGGATATTCCTCTTCTTTTGGTCCAGACCCTCAAATTTGAAAAGTAGCTTCATGTTAAGGAAAGGTCATTTTTCCACAGTTCAGTTCTCTGAAAAACTTCCATCTCCCACTGAAAGTCACAGTCCAGGAGTGAAGCAATCACATGCTAGAACTTCAGGGCCAATTGTAAAGTCATTATGAACACCTGCATTGGTCGATCTTATTTATCACAAGCCTGAAAATGCACAGTCCTGAAAACGGTGGCCTCTCTGTGCACACATGTACTTTTTAAAAAGGAGTGGGCAATATGAAGGGGACTGAGGCTTGATCACCAAAAATCAGCACAATGAAAACAAACAATAATGAATAATGAGCACTAGAATTCAAATTACCAGATGTTTTAAAGAGATGGGGTGCCAGTTTTCAATTCCGTTTTGAACACCACATTACAAAAGAACTATTTTTAAAAATAAAAAAGGATTGAGGGAAAAGAAAAAAATTAAAAGAATATCTAAACTGTTGAATGAGCCCCCCCCCCCCCGTTTGTTCCTGATAAACTTCAATCACATCTTCTTCCTCCATTCCCAGTTTTTTGGAGTATGATTATCAGCAATTCTCTGACCTTCAAAGAGAAACCTGAGTGAATTCATTGGAATTCCCTGTCTTTGACAGTATGATTCTTTGAGTTTCTTGAGATGTGTTGTCATTTTCACTTTGAAGTGAATCTCACTGCTATCCTGTCCAATGACTTTAAGTTTAATGTATTCTCCTTCCTTCTCATCCCCCAAGTCCTCAGTTGAAGGTTTTGCCTCCTGGTCAGTCAGACATGGCGACGGTGGCTTCGCCCGGGGGTCTCCGCACAGCAGCGGCCACGGGTAGGCAGAACCTCGCTCTGGGGTTTACAAATCTGTCTCTCTGCAATTTCTAATATTTATTCCTCTTTTCCCTTTACTCTCTCTTTCTCATAAGGTTCATTCCTTTTCTATGAAGTCCTTTATAGCTGGGAAGGTGACCTGCACCTGTAATCTCAGCTACTTGGAAGGCTTTTTTCTGTAGCAGAATAAACAATTCATATTTACCGTGCTTTCTGAATATGGTCTCAAGCTTTAGTGATCGAGGGTTATCTTTGTCTTTGGTAGTGTGGTTAGAAACATAATTTATAGCCAGAGGTTTTTGTCTTTATTGTTTTGTTTAAGCATACAGCGAGCATGCTGTGTAGATTATGGAAGGCAATGTCAGGCTCTTCTAAGCTTCCCAAATTAACAAAATATAATTCCTGGTTAAAGTATGTTTTTAAGTTTTCCACAATTCCTGGGATTTTATATAAAGAATGTAAGAGGATGAGAATTTAGAGAAAAATAGTCACTTGGTTTGGATTCATTATTAAGTCTTCAGTTTCTTGAGTCAGAAGAGGGAAAGAGAAGAGTTTTACACATACACAAAAATTGAGAGCACATCTCAGCTTGATTGAGTCTCAGTGCTTCCTGATAGGTGAAGATATTTATTCTTCTCTTTGTATTGGATTGTAGTTGTAAAATGGGGGAAGAGGAAAGCTGTCACCACCATTATTTAAGGTAAGCTGTTTCTAATTTCTTTTATTTGCTCCCTGATAGCTTTTTTTTTTTTTTTAACCTTTCTATAAAGCAGTGCTAGGTAGAATAATGAGTGTGTGAGTGGAGAAAAAGGTCCCAAATGAGAGAGAGTAGCTTTATCAATTGAAATTCCCAGTCGCCCTCTGAATGACTGGTATGTTTGTCAGTCTGTTGACTAGCAGTGAAGCTGAATTCCCACTTCCTTACTTATTCCTTTCTATTATAATAATTTTCTGAGTGTGCCTCCCTTTTTATTCAAATTCCTGAGTATTGATATGCAGGAGAGAGGTAAGGAGGAAGGGGATTTTGGTAAGAAGAAAAAACAAATGATTTAGTTCTCAAAGAAAGGTTCAAACCTTTACTATGTACCAGGAATTATTTTAGGAATTTATATATATTAACTCGTTGAATCTTCATAAAAGTCTAACTTGAATACCTACTTATTATGATGCCTCTTTTACAGATAATGAAACTGAAACCTAGGTTAAGTAACTTGATCATATAGCTAGTTAGTAGTAGAGTCTGATTTGAACTAAGGAGGTATACCCTACAGTCCATACTCTTAACCTCTTTTGACCATTTTGACCAATTTTGACAGTAAGTCAAAAATAGTTTAATAATAAAGCAATAAAAAATAAATTAGCTGAAATGAGAAAAGTTGTCAAACCAAGAAAATAATGCTAGTGCCGGATTACTTCATAGGCAGACTACCTGCATACTTCACCCCTACCCCTACAAAGCTGGGACTCCAGAAATAGAGAAAAATGTTTTTGTTTTTGTTTTTATTTTTTATTTTTTGAGACAAAGTCTCACTTTGTTGCCTGGGCTATAGTGAGTGCCATGGTGTCAGCCTAGTTCACAGCAACCTCCAATTCCTGGGCTCAAGTTATCCTACTGCCTCAGCCTCCCAAGTAGCTGGGACTATAGGCATGCGCCACCATGCCTGGCTAATTTTTTTTTTCCTATATATTTTTAGTTGGCCAATTAATTTGTTTCTATTTTAGTAGAGGTGGGGTCTCACTCTTGCTCAGGCTGGTTTTGAACTCCTGACCTTGAGCGATCCGCCCGCCTGGGTCTCCAAGAGTGCTAGGAAGAGAAAAATGTTTTTAAGAGGTTGACTGGTCAGGTGTGGTGGCTCATGCCTATAATCCCAGCACTTTGGAAGGCTGAGGTGGGAATATTCTTTGAGGCCAGGAATTGGAGAACAGCATGGGGCCCTGTCTCTAAAAAAATTAGCCAACCATGGTGGCACACACCTGTAGTCCTAGCTACTTGGGAGACTGAGGCAAGAAGATTGCTTCAGCCCAGGAATTTGAGGCTGCAGTGAGCTGTGATCACACCACTGCATTCCAGTCTAGGTGACAGAGCAAGACCCTATCTCAAAAATTAGTTAATTAAAATAAAAACATGGTGAAATAAACTGGTTGAATAGCTGTAAAACTAGATCGTGAGTTTAGCATTCCAGTAATTATTGGCATTATTTTTAGCATTCTCCGATGTACAATTAGAGAATGCTAGTTCATCAGTCCGATTTGTCATGTTCTTGCAACTTGTGAGTTAATGCCTCCTTTACCTTTACAAATTTCCAGATACACTTGTTTTTTACCAATTTATCATTTTGACTTCTTTGTTAATTCACACAGTTATTTCCTATTAAACCACTTGGAGCCAGTAAAAAAGCAACCAGGAAGTTTGGAACTTGGGAGAAGGAAATAAGAGATAGATGGAGTCAGAGAGAACAAATGAGAGAGGCAAGACCAAAGTGATCCAGATTAGGAACAAGAAAAAAATATGACAGTTGTAAAAATTTACAGAAGTTTTAAAACAAAATGGATAGAAAAGACTTGGGAAAATCCTAGCAAAATCTGATGTTTTCTCAGATTGTGTCAACATGATTAGGCCTCACAATGATCAGCTTTTCGATTATGTTTTACATATGTTAAATTTCTTAAGATGAATTATTTCAGTAAAGATGGAACTAGTATATGGATAATCTTGACTAATTTTGTTTTCTAAAAATGCCCCTTGAAAAACCTTCACCAGGAGCTGCAATAATTAAGCCAACCTACAAAATATGCAGTTTTATAAATACCTGGTTAATAAGGTATTTGCTATACCTTTAGTATTATTGCCTAACTTTGTCTCCACATGTAAAGAACACCACATTTGTACTATACCAGTTTTGACTCAGCTTAAAGGAGGTTATTTAGAAAAGTCACTGCTTTGACTGCCACATGTAGCTGGTTTGAATATCAAAAGATAGAAAACAATTACATTAATAATTTGAAAATGAGCAGTTTGAAAACAAATAGATCAGGGCCCGCAGGGTGGCTCACGCCTGTAGTCCTAAGCACTCTGGGAAGACGAGGTGGGAGGTTCGCTCAAGGTCAGGAGCTTGAAACCAGCCTGAGCAAAAGTGAGACCTCGTCTTTACTAAAAATAGAAAGAAATTAATTGGCCAACTGAAAATAGACATATATATAAAAAAATTAGCCAGGCATGGTGGCGCATGCCTGTAGTCCTAGCTACTCAGGAAGCTGAGGCAGAAGGATCGCTTGAGCCCAGGAGTTAGAGGTTGCTGTGAACTAGGCTGACGCCACAGCACTCTAGCCTGGGCAATAGAGTGAGGCTCTGTCTAAAAAAAAAAAAGAAAGAAAAAAAAAAGAATTTATAAAGTACTCCAGAAGTTTTCATGATAACTCTGAAAAATGTAAAGATGGCAAGGTAATAAATTTGTTCGTAAGTGCCAACTGATTAATTCATCAAACCAACTTAATATTAAGACCTTCAAATCTGTGGCCTAAAAGCTGTGTATGTTAAGAGAAGTAGTTCTTAGTGGCAGTAGTCAAGTGACTTTATGTGTAAATTTTAAAGTTTGACTGTATAGTTTATCAATCCCTCCTGAAGAGATCTAATCCAGGATTATTGCCATTTTACACACGGTATTTTTATAAAATGTAGCTTAATCATAATCTCACACTGAAAATTTTACATCACTTTTGCTGTTATCATTCTTTTAAAATATCATAGCCAAAATAATTTATGCCTTAATGTATCATTATATAACATTCCTTAAAACAGTTGTTAATGTTAGTGTTTTGTTTTTGACATTTTAACTGAAGAGCTGAGATACAAAATAATAATTGTATTCAACATCTTGGGTGGCAAAATATTCAATAAGTAGTATTATGAATGTGTTTGAACATTTCTTTACTGGAAAATGTTTTTGCGTCACATGAGAGATGTTCACAATATAATGAGAGCAATTGGCCTACAAAAAGAAATACATTATTACCATAAGTTTAATGTGTATACATGATAGGTAAATCTGAAAACGATGAAAAGAGTTGAAAGATTATAAAGTTAGTAGTATACTAGACGATGACTATGTAAGCGTATTAAAATGTTACTGCTGATGATTTTCTTACTTCCTACACTGAATAGACTTGAAAAAAGTAACTTTAAAGTCTTTTTTTTTTTTGAGACAGAGTCTCACTTTGTGCCTAGCTAGCGTGAGTGCCCTGGCGTCAGCCTAGCTCACAGCAACCTCAAACTCTGGCTCAAGCGATCCTGTTGCCTCACTCCGAGGTACTGGGACTACAGGCATACGCCACCATGCCCGGCTAATGATAATATATATTATATAGTTGGCCAATTAATTTCTTTCTATTTATATTAGAGACAGAGTCTCGCTCGTGCTCAGGCTGGTTTCGAACTCCTGACCTCAAGCAATCCGCCTGCCTCGGCCTCCCAGAGTGCTAGGATTACAGGCGTGAGCCACCACTCTTGCCTAAAGTCTTTTTTAAAGGTACTTTAAAGTACTTTTTTAAAGGTACTTTTAAAGTACTTTTTTTTTTTTTTTGAGACAGTGTCTTGCTTTGTTGCCCAGGCTAGAGTGAGTGCCCTGGCATCAGCCTAGCTCACAGCAACCTCAAACTCCTGGGCTCAAGTGATCCTACTGCCTCAGCCTCCTGAGTAGCTGGACTACCAGGCATGCGCCACCATGCCCGCTAATTTTTCTATAAATAGTTGCCAATTAATTCTTTCTATTTATAGTAGAGATGGTGTCTCCCTCTTGCTCAGGCTGGTTTTGAACTCCTGACCTTGAGCAATCCACCCGCCTCGGCCTCCCAGAGTGCTTGGATTACAGGTGTGAGCCACTGCGCCCGGCCAAAAGTACCTTTATAATGGTACTTGAAAAAAGATTTATTTTTTAAGTAAACCCAGCGTGGTGGCTCACTCCTATAATCCTAGCACTCTGGAGACGAGGTGCAGATTGCTCAGGTCAGAGTTCGAAACCAGCCTGAACAAGACCCAAGACCCCTTCTCTATAAAAATAGAAAGAATTAATTGGACAACTAAAAATATATAAAAAGAATTATCGGGCATGGTGGCACATGCTTGTACGCCAGCTACTTGAGAGTCTGAGGCAGAAGGATCGCTGGAGCCCAGGAGTTGGAGGTTGCTGTGAGTTAGGCTGATGCCAGGGCATTATAGCTCAGGTAACAGAGTGAGACTCTGTCTCCAAAAAAAAAAAAAAAAAAACAATCTCAGCTGGGCTAGGCGGCTTATGCCTGTAACCTAGTACTTTGGCAAGCCCTGGCAGGAGATTCACATGAGCTCAGGAGTTTGAGACCGGCCTGAACCACATAGCCATACCCTGTGTCTACAAAAAATTAAAAAATTAGCCAGATGTGTGGCATGTGTCTGTAGTCCTAGCTACTGGGGAAGCTGAGGCAAGAGGATTGCTTCAGCCCAGGAAGGAGCTTGAGGTTGCTGTGAGCTACACTTGTGCCAGTACACTCTAACCTAGGAAACAGATCGAGACTGTCTCTCAAAAAAACCGAAAAACAAAAGAAACCCCAAGCAATTCAGTTGGATAGTTTGTCGAATTTGAAATCATATGTTCTCGGGGTGGAGGAGCAAGGGAAATATGAATAACCTTAACATTTGTACCCCCATAATATGCTAAAAAAAATATATAAACCAACTAAGCAAACAAACAAAAAAGAAATCATGTGTTTGTGAAAATTTAGTACTTAATAGTACATTTGCTTATCATCAGGAAATTTTATCCCTAAAACAGATTGTTTGTGTGACCTTAGATATTTGTATTTTTATTGTGCTTAGTAAATAACAAATTAACCTAAATTCTAAAAGGAAAATGATGATTGCTCTGAAGTTTTTTTTAAAAAGTGTCTTTATTTTTATAAGGATTCCATTCAAGGTGATGGATATGATAATTAGTTTGTTTTAATTATCCCATATTATATTCATAAATCATAACATTGCTTTATACCTTGTAAATATATATAGCTATAATTTATAAATTTATTATTTAAAAAATAGAAATTAAAATAACAAATTCTTTATGTTTCATTAGGTAAAGCATCTCTCCATTTTAGGATTAAAGAAAATAAGTAAAAGGTGAAACATCTTGCCTATGTCGAGGAGATAGTATAAGTCATTCCTTGGTATCCATGGGGAATTGTTATAGCACCCCCCACTCCCCTGTGCTATAATCCACGATTGCTCAAGTCCCTTATATAAAATGGCATAGTTTTGCATATAATCTATACA